GCAGCGGTGACAATGAGACAGGTAGCATTTTCTGCTAGGCTCAGTGAGTCAGAACTGGTTGTAAGAAGACTTTTCAATCTTCGAGATAGTTAAGGAATAATATATCTCACATCAAAATAACAATGTACTTGTTATTATTTAACTTCTAGGAGGAAAAAAAGAAATATTGAGAGAATCCTTGAGCCGAATTTGAGTCCAGGTGTCCTAACTCCCAGTGCCATGTCTTCATCATGATATCGTGGATCTGGAGACGGGGCATGTCCAGCAACCGCACGTTTGGGAGGAGTGGCCCACAAAGGGGAGATGTGCTGAGTTTCACTTGGGTCCCACAAATGCGAACTATGGCGGGACATCCGCCTGGGCACATTCTGACCTGTCCCGTCTGACCTGTCCTGACATTCTGACATGCACTGACCTGGCTCACAGTCTCTTCCCATTCCAGTTTGTGAGATGACAGCCTCTCCACAGAGCCTGTGACCCTCAGCTCACCTGCAGCGCACTTCTCCTCCGGGTCACACTGTCCTGCCACCAAGGAAACCCTTCACTGGCACCCTCCTTCCTGTCCACGGCACCCCGGCCGCCCGGGTCTCCAGTTCCCTCACTCCCCTTACATCACGCCCCTTACCTCATTCACCTTTGATATTTTGGAAATATCGGCCCCTCTATCTTTTTACTTCCTTCCAATTTTTTTTATTAGTTCTTCCAGGTTTCTCCACTTCCCCCAGTGACCCTAGAATCCTTGACTGACCATCAAGTCCTGCTCTTACCAGCACCTTTGTTCCCCTCACACCCCATCCCTCTGTAGCATCACTCAAACAACACCTCAAGCCTGGCTCAGTGTTACAATCTGTCCTCATTCTTACTTAGTTGCCAGAGAAAATTTTGTCAGCCTTGTAGAGAACAGTCACAATTCCATGATCTCCCACCTCAACGAAGCCCTCAGAACCTCCCTCAATCCTTTCCTTCAGGGGTCTGTCTCTCTGGGCTCCTACATCATGGAGAGAATCTTGATATCATCCTGCACGCTCTCCCCATCACCCCCCCATCTGTAACAGTATTGACACCCTCCCACAATGGAAAATCAGCGTCCCTTCCGCCCAAGGCCAGGCCCCACTATCCTCTGCCTGTTCAGGACTCTGTTCCTTCATAGCAAATAGGTCATCTCTCCTCCTCTCAGGCTCCTCTTTCCACCTCAAAACGTGCTCCAGCCCCTCCTCCTGGGCCTCCCTTCCCCCTTAGCCCTTGCCCAACTTGCTCCCCCTGCTTGTCTGAACTTCTCAGAAGAGACTCAGTCTCTGCTTCCTCACCTCACACTCGCTCCTCTGACCACTGCAGTCTGCCTTCCAACTGGCTATTGAAACCACATTCCTAAGATCGTAAATGCCTTCCAAAGGACATGCACAAGTCTTACCTTCCTGGACCTCTCTGCTCTATTTGTCGTTTTAATTGTCGTCAAATACACGCCGCGTAAAAGGTGCTGTCTGGGCCATTTATAAGTGTTTGTAGTTCAACAGTGTTAAGTGTATTCACGTTGCTGTGCCGCCATCTTACAGAATGGAGCCTTGGTGCCCATTGGACGACTCCCCACACCCCTCAGCACCACAGCAGCACCCCACTCTCTGTTTCCAGGAGTCTGGCCACTCTGGAAACCTTCTACAAGTGAAACGATGCAGTAGCCCTCTTTGGTGCCTGGCGTGTTTCGCCCAGCACAATGTCTGCGAGGTTCACCCATGCTGTGGCCTGTGCCAGAGTTTCCTTTTTTACGGCCAAGTGATATTTTATTGTATGTTTAAACCACCTTTTGTTTATCCATTCGTCCGCCGACGGCCACGTGGGTTGCTCCCACCTTTGGTTGTTGTGAACAGTGCTGCTGGTTGAGACCCTGCTTTCAACTCTTTCGGACATACACCCAGGAGCAGCATCACTGGATAATACCAGCTGCTCAGTGTTCAGCGGCCTAGCATCTCCTCCTCCGCTCTCTGCTACACTGTTCCCTGGGACGCTGCCCTCATTTTCACTCCCAGCTCTCCCAGTGCCCCTCCTTCTCTGTCTCCCTCCATTGGCCCTAGGGGTCTGCTTCAGTCAAGGTCCAATAAGAAAGACAGAACCCGCCTTTTTTTATTGTTGTTCTTTTTTAAATTATTGATTTGAGAGAGACATCAATTTGTTGTTCTACTTACTGATTCATTCATTCATTGGTTGCTTCTTCTATGTGCCCTGACCAGGGATTGAACTCACAACCTTGGTGTATGGAGGCGATGCTTTAACCAACTGAACTACCCAGCCAGGGCAGAAACCTCCTATCAAAGAAAGGATGTTTGATGCAAAGACTTGGTTATCCCAACATTAGAAAGCTGAAAAACTATGAAAGGGAATGTTGAGGTAGCTCAGATCAACAACTACAGGAATCCATTCCCACCCCAGGGCTAGGGAACAAAGGAAGAGGTGAGATCTAGGGAGTGACAGGTGATGGGAGAGCCCCTCCCCCACTGCACAGCCGCTACTTGGACGCCCACCGCTCACCCAGGGTGCTCAGCTGGCTGATGCTGGTAGCTCTGAGGGAGGTACCTGGGCCAGTGCTACCAGGGAATGCAGAAGGTCAAGACTGGTGCTGTGGCATCTTCTGTGACTTGAGTGACAGTCTTAACAATTAGAAGCAGAAAGAAAGTCCATTCTGCCTTCGTCACGCCTTCCCATCTCTCTTAAGTGGCTCTTGTTGGCAGAAGCCAGCAGGAATCCAGGTGGTAAAGGAGGCAGGAAAGCAGTTTGCAAACCTGGCTGTACCCTCAAAGAGCAGAGTCTACCTAGAAGGGTGGGCTCGGTGCTGAGAGACGCTGAGCAAATGACCCGCGCAGGACTCTGTCCTGGGCCGACTATCTCACTGAACACCCTTTCTGGGGTGGTCTGTTTTCTAGGAGTAAACCCTTATGGTTCTGACCATGACTTACGTCTGTGACATCCACATCCACCCATCCAATGCAGACCTCTCACCCAAACTTCAGGTGCATTTTTTTCTTCAGCTGCCTGCTAGAAATCTCTACCCTGGTGGCCCTTCAATTAAACAAGCCTCAAAGTGCCCCTGCCATCTTTCCTTTTCAAACTGCTTCTACTGCTCTGTTCTCTACCTCAGCTGGTGGCTTTAGCTATGCCGATTAGCTAATCTAGAAGCCTGGATGTCCCCTCATTTCACTGGCTCCTTCAACCTCCCAAATATTTCTTCAGTGTCCCCGCCCCGGGCTCCATCACTGCCCCACAACCCCGATATAGGCCTTCATGCAGTTCCCCCGTGTACCCCACAACCTCCTCAGTGTTCTCTTGGGCTTTCTTCTTGCCCCCCTTGAACTCACACAGCTGCCTGAGGGACCTTCTCAAAATGCAGAAATGGCCACGTGTCTCCCTGGCTTGAACAAACCCTTTAGTAGCTTCCTACCATCCTCCTCTCACCTGGCCCTGCCTCCTTTCCAGTTTCATCCCTGCCCCTCCCGACCTGTCCCCAGCTCCAGCAATTCTGAATTGCTTGAGCTATGTTATTTCTATATTCTGTTCCCTCTGACTGGAAAACCTTTCCTTCTACACACCTACTCTGAGTTAACCCTACTCATCCTTCAAGACTCAGGTCAGATGCCTACCCCCTCCAAATCTTCTCAACACTCAGATAACAGATCCTCAAGTTACCAGACAGGACAAGTGGCAAGGCACGCAGAGCAGTATCTCCAACCCTTAAGCCACTGGTCTCCAGGCTGCTCCTCCACCACGGTCATAGCCACAGCCAGCACTGGACTCCCTAAAGTCCAGTCGTGCAGCCTGAACACACACCACTCTACCCCGCAATGGCACTTCTCAATCACTGTTCCTCTACATTCTTCTAAAAGCAGCTTCTGAGATTTTCTATTTACATCCCTCCCTCACCACCAACATCCAATCACCAGGCCCTGTAGAGTCTCCCTCCTCACATTTCCTGTCTTTCCCCTTCTCCCATCTCTATGGCACCCAAGACCAAGCCACCCTTAACTTTCGTCTAGAAGATTGCAGTAGCTCTCTCCTCACTGGCTCCTGCCCACTCTCCAATCCATCACCTCCCTGTAGCCAAACTGACCTTTTCTGAGTGGAAGTACGATTTTGTTAACCACCTGTTTAAAAACTGTTGGAGGGTTGGTCGTTGCTTTTAAGATAAAGGCTAAATTATTTAGTTACAAGGCTCTGTAAATCACCTTTTGCCTATCCCCTCCCCATCTTAGTACAAATCAAACAGGCCCCGGTTAGCTCCTTCTTCCGAGTCACGGTCTTTCCTCACTTGGCCTGCTCTTACCGCAGTGTCAGAGCTCGGCTTCAGTGACATTTCTTTAGGAAAGCCTTCAGTGATTCCTAGGCCCCATGAGATCTCTCTGTTGCACACTGTCTGGCACTTTGTGCAAGTCTCTCTGTGGCATATACCACAATTACAAAACTGCATGACTCATTTAATGCCTGTTTCTCCTGACTGTAAGCTCGATGGAGGCAAGAACAAGGCCCATCTGGGCGCTCTTACAGTCTTAGAGCCTCGCTTAAAACCGGTACATAATAGGTCCTCGCTACTGTTTGTTGCATGAATGTTCATTAATGTTTGTTGAATTACAGTTAATGAGTTTTCTCCACTCCCGACTCAGATCAGTTCCATGTCTGTACTTACAGCCCCATGATGCATTGCAGTTCTCACCTCTATAGTTGCACTGACTTCACTGTTTGTAGAAGCGTCTGCCTCCCACCCCTCTTCACTCTTCAGTCCTTTACCTGCGGACTGAACCACCCGAACATTCCTTGAGTGCAGTATTTTGTGCCAGTCTCCCTCTATGAATAACCAATGTGGCTGCAGCAGCCCTGGTGGTTTGCACTGAGATTGTGAAATGCCCTTCAGCAATCGCCACAAAGGAACTTTGAATAAATAAAGCAGCTGGGAGCCTATGATTTCTCAGGCTCACTCTTTATTGAAGAATTTAAAACATAAGAGTGGGTATGTCAGGTGTGGCAGGCGGATAAATGACCCAAATGGCCAGTCACTGAAATCAACCAAGATCTCTAAAACAAAGCAGCCCTGTCCGGAGAGGTGGCCTGGGCTCTTCACCTGGCTGTGTGGCTGGTGATGTGTTTGTCCAGGTAGCCACCCTTGAAGTGGATGCCACGGCTTAAGTCAGGCACTTGCATTACAAAAAAGAAAAAAGCCCGTCAGGGCTTACACCACAGGCAGAGACTATCAAACATTTCGATGGATCACGTCTAGGACTGGACCTTGGGGATCGCCCTTCACTGTGGAGCAGGAGGGAGAGGAGACGGCAAAGGCGAGGACTGGGATCCAGAGAAGTGTTGTGCAGGGACACAGCAGGAAGCACTCCAGGAAGCAGGAGAAGGTCAGTTGCAACAATTTTGCTCAAAGAATAAGGAAGTTGGGGACTGACAAAAGGTTTAAAGTCCACCAACGAAGAGGAAGGTTTGCATAGATTTAATGAAGTTGTGGAGATGGAAGCCAAGTCGTACAAGATGAGGAGGGGACTGGCTTCACTGGGGAGAGCGGAGCTGCAGGCTTCTGTGTCCCAAGGGCATGTAAACAGGGAGGTGAGTCAAGCTCCCCAGTTGGACAGAGTGAAAAGAGCCCCAGAATGTTTCTTGTCGTATTTTCTTCTCACTTCTCCTCTCTGCCCTAATAAAAACAAAATGGGCTAAAATCATGATGGAACACTTCAATTGTCATTTTCTCGCCACTGGCATAATGCTTTTTGAATGTAATTTTCACAGCTGGCATGAAATAAAACTATATTCCTTCCTCAAACTTACACAAAGATCACTGTTGCTTTTCATGCCTATTCAGAGAATGCAAATGAAATATGACTATACAAAGGCATTTTTCTTCATGAGTTAAAATACAGGGTCTGGCAGAAGTAAAGCCTGCTTGATTGTGGTTGATAGGGTAATAGCATGGGTGTGATGATTTATGGTTTTAATTTGAACGTTTCACCTAAAATGTCATAGGGTGTGCTTGAGTATAATGTTGTTATGTTACAGAATTACATGCTTACGATTTTGTAATAAAAGATGTTGTAATAAAAAGGGTTGTTATTTGTACCAGATCTTGTACATTATTCTACCAAAAAATAATAATAAAATACTTGAAAAAAATCCCCATGGTAAGCTTTCAAAAATGTATTCTACAGCAAATACTTCAAGAGTCAGAATGCTGTAAGACACCACCTTCTTACCATGTCTAACAGTATCTGCCCCTGGCACAAGGAAAGTCACCAACAAATTCCTCTTAACAAGAAACAGAGGTAAGGAAGAGAGACTTCCTAAATCATAAACCTTGGAGGCAGGGGAATTTGACCCACTTTCAACTTAAAAGCAACCTCTGCAATGCTAATCCCGAGAACTTGCATTTGCGTCAGAACGCTGAGTCACCTGGTGACAGGAAAGCCCAGGTAACACTGTCCTAAGCAAAGCTCAATAACTTAAAGTAGAGTAGAATTTACTGAGAGTCACAAAAGACAGGATGCCAGAGAATGTCTCCACATAACCTTAAAATTAGAGATCTGACCAAATGTTTCAGTATCAGAAGTTGAACTCATAAATTGCCAATAGGTGGACCTAGGTTCTTATCTGAACTTAGATAAAAACAGCCTAGTACAGAGAGTAGGTGAACTTGGATTGAGAAAAACATATTTATACTCATTAATCTCTAAGTGGAATTTAGCCTTTTTCTTTGATCATGAATGTAGGCAGTAAACCTCTAGAATTAATAAAATATCGGATTAATGAAATCACGGATTTTTCGTCTCACCTCACAGTGGTGGCAGAAACTTTGAAATAGCATTTATACTCATCAGTACTAGTTAGTATATCCACCATTAGAATTTGATTTCATGCATTGTAAAGTAGCACATGCATTATTATCCAGATGTTTGGGGTTTAAAAATATTTTGATAATTTCATTTCATTTTAATTGGATTTGTTGGGTATTCTATGTATTCTGTTCTCTGCCCTTAAAAAGACAGCCTGCAGTCTTTACCAGATTGCCAATGGTGTCCATCGCACAACAAAGATGAAGAAGCTTCGATCTGGTATTTTATGAACAAAACTCATGGTTCATCATTTCTACTTGCAGGCATAAAGATATGCACATGAATAACAGATTCAGTCTGCACCATTTGGTGCCCTTAATAAGTTGGAATCCATATATAATTTTTGCAAGGTTGTGTTGTTTAGGACTAATCATTTATTCCATATTTGTGCAATAAAATTTTTTTCAGGTATAAGGAAGTAAAGCTATTCTACTTCCTTTTGGATGCCTCTTAAAACAGAATGTTCCTGATTAATTGCTGTAGCTGGCACAGACTTCAAGAGGGCTAAGTCCTCATGTGAACCACTGGAATTGAGTCAAACTTTCAGGGTGGCCCCAGCTGTGTAGCTGAGTCAGTCAAATTGTCATCCCAACACGCCAAGGTTGTGGGTTCAGTCCTGGTCGGGCCACGTAGAAGAGTCAACCAAAGAATGCATGAGTGAGTGGAACAACAAATTGATGTTTCTTTCCCCTCCTTTCTCTCTAAAACAAACAAACAAACAAACAAGCCCTCCTGGTAGGTGCTGGAGGTCCCTAGACATTCCTAAGAAAACCAATGGCCACGGAAAGCACATCTGGAAGAATTCCCAGCCCAGAAGTGAAGCTTGGTGCGGGACTTGATTCACTTTGGAAAGTGCTTCAGAATGCTAGCAAGTCTAAAGTCAAACAGCATTGGGAGCAAAAGCACATCTGCGAGATTTCCTTTGTGGTTAGACCATGTCTCCTTGATGTAAAGGAGCTGAAATTTTCAACCAAAGCTGTTTTTAGGATTTGGATACCTCATGCATACCAGAGAACCTCTCATGTATTACTCAGTAGGAAAATATGTTGGGTAATCTAAGCCATTTTTTAAACTTAGTTCCCTTAAATTACTGTATCAATTATAGTTATTCTCTTGGCAGAGAAATCTTGAACCCCTCATAGAAAAATGCCTTTGTACTTCCCCCAAGAGATAGAATCTCAGAGGTAGCTTATGCAGTCTTAGAAAGATGTAGTTTGAGAACTAGGGACCCCGCAGGGTCTGTTAAGGATCTGTATGTTCAGTTCCGCTCAAGATAGCAGAAACTCTAGTTGGTTGATCAAGGCAAACATTCTGGGGAGTTTTTCTTCTCCAGGTATCAGCCAGAGACTTTGCATCCATTCTATTTGGTGCAAACATTCTATCCAGTGTCTAGTTCATAATGACACATCTGCTAAAATTATTGCTCATAGTTTAAGCATGGAAAGGAAAGAACAATTGTGTTTGCCTTGGCACAGGGATTTTTTGGAGGTAAACAAAGTATCATGGGATTCCTATTATTCTATATCTATAAGCAAAGATCCATTCACAGAAGCATGAGTTCACAGCATCTAGAACTTCAGGGTTCCTCCAAGGTTCTCAAAAGTTTATGGACATGGAACCCCTGGGTATGGTGGATTCTAATGTAGTAGGTCTGGGGTTGGGATCCAGATTTCATTTTTCTAATAAGCTCCCAGGTAATGCTGAGGTGAGACAGTAAGAAGCTCAGAAAATGCCTTGGCAAGTGGAGGGAGGAAACCGACAGGTGGCTGATTCAAACTGCCCCATCCAGCACGCCGTGTCACCTGTCTCTTCTCTCCTGCAAGACCCACTCCCTTAAGCATTAAGACAAAGGACCTAGTGTACACTCTCCCTGGAACACACCTAGGCCTCCCCCCCGTGCCTATCCTTGCTTTTCTTTCTCCTAAGCTGTAACGGTTCCCAGACTTAAAACCAGGGGAGCAGCCCTCCACAGGTTTTAAGAACCTATCTCCACAGGCCCTCCTTTTGCCTCTGTAACTTGTTTCCTGAGTTCATGCAGCCCAGCTGGCTCATGGCTTCTGCCTCCGTGACCTTCTTTCTAAAGAGCCAAGGCAGCTATGCCTCGGCTCAACTCTTTTTCAAGTTTCCAAAAGGCCAAGACAGCTCTCTAAGCAGCCCACTTGAATATTCTCTTTGAGTGTACTTTTGCTTTTCTTGCTACATAAACTTCCCCTTGTGATAGAGTTCTTGGCTCTAAGTTCTTTCTTTGCCCAACTCTTGAACCAAAGTCCAACACTGCTGCTAATGATGCCAGTGTTGCTATTCCTTGGACCTTCTCTTAAAGGCTTATAGATAACGATGGAGCCAAAACTAAGATTTAAAATGACCCGCACTGCCTTGGCTGGTGCGGCTCAGTGGTCGAGTGCTGTTTGCCTTGCTCTTTCCAGGTTACCTAAAAGTCCTAGAGAAAAATCAAGTGTGGTATAATAATATCTACAAATACCAAAGTGTTAGTTTTCCTTGGGGAGTAAATGTTCTATTGTTACTAAACCTATGATATTAACTTCTTTGTTCTTCACAAAAATTTCTAGAACTTTCCTTAAAATATTTGGTAACAAAGACATGGCTTATTATGGTATTAGTTTACCATAATAAGATGTTAGATCTTATTTTCAGGCTGTTAGATAGCCTGAAAAGTTATATTTATTTTAATTATATAAGGAATTGTTAGTACTTTTTTGGATGTAATTATCATCATTAGCACTTCATCGTATTTTGGGAAGAACAAAAACATTATTGTTCCTTAATGATAGTACTAACCTACACCAATGCCTTTATTTCTCACTTCCCCATGAGGCTGACAGGAAGTTTGTTTCTGCAATTTAGCACGAATGCCTTTAGATACACTGCTTCCTTTCTCCTGTATTTTTAAAGAGTTTGCATTTTTAATGACCCTAACTTATTAGAGGACAATTCCCACTGGTGCAGTCAGCATTCATTATTAATGTTTTCTATTCTCAGGCAGATGGAGCTGTATAAATCTAAACAGGTGATTGGCACAATCCACCTGCTTTTGCTATAGATGAGGTGTTGGCCTCAAGCCAATGATCCTACTCACTTGCACTCTCATTAGAAGAATGACCTCCCACAATTCTCTGAAGCTCAATAATATGGATTTTCCTTAAGGAAACATTATGATGTTTGGATGGTATAAAGCTACCTTATTTTCATAGCAATTGATATGAAAGTTTTTCCAAGTATCTTCCTTTGAGTTCGAGAAAGGTGGGTGAATGTGTGTCCACTGGAGCTAACTGGCGTACACACCACTTTAAACTCTGCTCATTGAAGAGTTTTACAGCGAAGTCACGTTGCCAGGTGTGCGCCAGCAGCATTCCATTCGAGGCTCTTCCCACTTCACAGGTGAACTGGCCAAAACGTAGACAAAGCCTGAAATAGTAGCCTCAACTCTCAACAATGCAGGACTCAACAAACTGATCCATACTGACATCCTTCCCCAGAGTTACCAGTGTTAGTAAAGTAATTAGTGTTCAGGGGGAGTGGGTGGGTTAAAAGAGGCACAAGGAATTTTCTGTATCTCCCTCTGGACAATGACTACATAGGTGCGTGCATCTGTAAAACTTCGTCAAGCTGAATGAGGTACTTTGCACACCTCACTGCACGAATTTTATATCCATCCCAATCAATTTATAAAATAAACCATTTGCATTGTGCATTGCTAGTTTTTTGTTATTGTTGTTTTGATTTTTTGTTTTTGGGTTGGGTTTTTTTTTTTGGAGTAAATGGCCCTGAAACAGCTGTAGATCCAATGATTTCCTTATAGGCTTCTTCTTTAGTGCCCTTCTTTGGACCGGCTCAGAAAAAGGGGGACCATTCTTGGCTTCCCAGAGTATATAATAGCTCCCCACCATGCAGACAATACAAATACTGCTGAGCCAGAAAGAAGACATAAGCTCTTCCTGAAAGGATGAACTACAAGGAAGGGATCACATAAAACAAGGTGCCAAGTTCCAAATCCAGAGAAAACTGGGTCAGGGATAGAAAGAGGCATCAGGTTTGGTTACTGAACCAATCAGACCGACCACCAAAGTGACTAAGAATTAAGTGAATGGGGTGGATCAGCCAAATAGCAGTGTCTGACCCCTTGACATTAACAGACACTTCATTCAGGGAATAAATTGACCTCAATTTCACCAAAATAAATTCCATCCACGATAGCTCTCTACAACCCTTCAACCTGGAATTATTCTAATGTAGGACAAACTGTCTTTCAAAGGCAAAATATTTTTACCTCTGTTAATGAAGCATTTACAGCATAGTGTTTGAAGTTTCCTCCACTCAGCCTGCTGCATCTTGACAATTTCGGGCCTGCAAGGTTATTGTAGGTCATGCTTATTTATAGTCCCTCTTTTACTGCAGTGGTTAGAGCAGCCATATCTACCATTTATCATCTAATTACAGTGTTCACCAACATGCCCTGCCCTTCCATTCTCAGATCAGCACTGTTGCTTCAGATTTTACATCATTGTCAAAGTGTTTAGGAGGGGGCAATTTTCTCTCTACCTCTGCTCAGTTTTGTCTTATATTCCTATCACTTTCAATTTTCTTATTCCATTTACTTTACCTCTTTTATCCTTTACATGTTTATATTTAAACTATCATCACCATACTTTAAGAGTACACAAACATGACTAAAGAATGTTTGGTGATAATATTTTTCTGAAAAAAAAAAAAAGCAAAGAAATAGCCTCCAATATCATAACCGTGGGTGGGTACAGATATATTATATTGGGTTGGCCAAAAAGTCTGTTCAGTTTTCTCCATAAAATGAAAGACACATTTTTCGCCGTGGCTGGTGTGGCTCAGTAGATTGAGTGCCAGCTTGCAAACCAAAGGGTCACTGGTTTGATTTCCAGTCAGGGCACATGCCTGGGTTGCAGGCTGTGTTCCCAGTGGGGGACATGTGAGAGGCAACCACACATTGACGTTTCTCTCCCTCTCTTTCTCCTTTCCTTCCCCTCTCTCTAAAATAAATAAATAATTATTTTTAAAAGAGACAGTTTTCATTTTCACCAGTAACTTTATTGATTTGTATATTTTGAGTATGTTGGCTATCTCCCACTATCAGCTTCTAGTGGGTGGAGGCCAGGGGTGCTGCTAAACATTTTCCAACACATAAGACAGGCCCACAGCAAAGAATTATTTGGCCAAAATGTCAACAGTACAAAGAAAGTTCACAAACCACTCTTGACATATTTTATCAGTTACAGCACAGTCTCCATACACTGCACAAATCTTTCTGTGTTTCACTTACATTTTTACCTTTCTTGAAATAATCAAGCATAATACAACGATGATGTCACATTTCTTCCATCTTCAATATTAAAATGGCTGCACAAAAATTCACCAATTTTGATATTTTTTAAATGCATGCCGATATAACAGCTGTCACAATATAATCTAACAAAATTGTTTCAAATGAAGTTAATGACAACTAAGCACTACTAGACCATCATCTCGAAAAAAACTAAACAAACTTTTTGGTTAACCAAATGTTAAGTTAAGGTCCCCGCTTCTTTGAAGATGACAATTTAGTGTTCTATTGCTTTCCTGACAGAGACCACGGAATACCTATTCATGGTGACTGTGATGCTAGGGATCATTAGTAAATTCCCTGCCAGCCAGTAACTGTGCCAGTAGCAGTGGAGACTGGCGAAGTAGTATGCAGAAGAGCAATCACAGACAAACAAAAATAGCTCAGGAAGTGAAAGCGTTCCTAAAGGGCGGAAGCCTCGTATTTCCTGGGTCCTCCCTCTTCTGACTCTCCATTGCCTGACCTTATCCAGCTCCTATATCTCTCCGCCATCCTCTCCCAACCTCCACTGGCTGTTCAAGATGGTACCAAACTCCCAGCCTTACTCCAGCTTGGCAGGTAGACTGGTACCCGCCGCCGCTGCGGTCCGGCCCCAACCGCGCCTGCGCAGAGCTTCTCGCGCGAAGGTGCAGCCATCACCAGCGACAACCCCTCCAGTCCCAGATGCGAGGTCCGCTGTAAGACAACTCTGGTTCTGCTTGACCCCTCTCACATTCCTGGGAACCGCCTCCACAGCGCGCGCGTGGGCCCTGGAAACAGTAACTTGAGAGATCCGGACGAAGGAAGAGTCTTGCGGTGCAGGAATAGAACACGCGGGCTACGAAGCTTAGCGGTGGAGCCCGCCCCTCAGGGCCAACTTCCTGCCTCCGTATTGGCCCTTGTGCCCGTCAGTCTCCGCCCAAGGGCCCTGCCCGGCTTCCTCGCGACCCCTCTGCCTTCGGATCCCACCCTCTCACTACGTTGCTTTACTGCCCGTGTGGCCAGTGACTGGCTGCTCCTGCTAGTCCGATCCTGACCTGGCGCTGGCCCCGAGAAGCTCCAAAAAGGGGAGGGCCTGGCTGGGTGGGAGCTGATCTTTGCCTGGTAGAGCGGCAGGTCCTCGGCCTCTTTGCCAGCAGCACCACCTGTCCCGGAGCGAGACCTGGGGTAAGGCTCTTTGCTGCTGGGCCCGGGGCGGGAGCTCGGGAAGGAGAGCTTGCGTCGGCCTTCTGCCACTTGGCCCCGGACTCTGAGCACAAACCTGCCACCGGAGTCCGCGCGTGCGGCCGGGCAGCTCCTCGCTTGATGGATGGGGCGACAGAGTGAAGGGTAGGGGCTCACTGAGGGCGGGGAGCTGGACAAGTCGCGGAACCCCATTTCGACCGTTCAAGGCCTGTACCCCGGCGTCCTGTTTGGGGCGTGACTTCTCCGTTTCTCCTCTCGCTAGTCCCAGGGCGACCCCTTTCCAGTCCGGGATGGAGGCCCTGTGGCCTCCAAAACGCGAGCATCTCTTCTTTCCCCCTTTCCCCTGCCCTTTAAAGACCGATTTTGTGGCTCCAGCTCCCTTCGGCAAATAGATCTCTTTTTCTGCAGGGATGAATTGATCACGAGAGGCGTTTGGTGTGTTTGTGTTTGTTCTTCGCTTAAAAGAAGTTCGTTGCAGGCTAGAAAGTTCTAAGATAGGAACGCTTCTGTCCTTTCATATGAAATGTCATCTGTGGACCAGGATTGGCAGGTGTTTGGCACTGATGGTAACCATCCATCTCTGCTTGTGTCTTGTCGCATTCAAAAGTCTTGAATTTGACTTTTTTCTTGGTTCCGAAGATAATTCTAGAAAATATGCATTGCCCTTTGATGAGAAGCTTATTAAAATATTAAATCTCAACAGAAGTGCCGTCATATGAAAATTATTTCATGTCCAATTTATACCTTCCTAATACTTGGGACAATCAATCACTTTTAAACAAAGCATTTAACAGCATTGTTACGTCCAGTGTTGCAATTGATGATGATAACAATTAGAAGCACATATTGTTAATTATGGGCTGGGCACTGTTCAATGCATAAATCGTCTGCAAGTTATGCTTGGAGATAGTACTGTTACTCTGTCCAGTTTACAAATGAAGAAACTAAAGCCTAGAAAGGTTAAGTAACTTGTCCAAGATCACAGGTTTTAAATGGCAAAGCCTGCATTCAGACCCAGCAATCCAAATAGCCCCAGCCCCTCTTAACCCCGTAAAGCTAATAGCAGTGTTGTACTCATAAATTCTGTTCTTTGTCAAGCGTTCTGTAAGTTAGAGAAAACATTCATATATATATATATAGTTTTATATACACACATACTAGTTACACAAAAGGTAGTTAAACATTTATTGTGTAACTACTTGAATTTCATGTTGCTATGTTACATGGTTTGCAGGAATAAAGAAAAAATAGTTTATCTTCTAATGCTGGACTTTAAATAATCAGTGAGTTTTGATTTGTGACCTGTATCTGACAGTTTTATGGTAGTTATAAAGACTTCAAAGTTAGACATAAAGACCAGAAATGCTGATAGAATCTTTGTCATGCGTTAGTAGGAAGGAAATGTTGGGCTGTGCTTTTGTAGAAGTTCTTTATTCTTTTGAGAATTAAAACACACTTTTGCTCAATAGTAATTCCTGAGAAAGAACTGCTTATGGATTTCACCCTTAGAAGGTGTTTATGTATAATAATGTCTTTGTCTTTTTAAATATTTGTTATGAAAGCACATTAATATTCATAAAGGAAAATGTCATTTATCATTTGAGAATTTCTTTTGTAAATTAATTTATATAAACTAAAATCAACTCTAATTTATGTTGGTGAATTTCAGAAAAACTTAACAGCCATAGTTTAAAAACATAATTAACACTGAAACTTATAGTTTGTTTATTTACTAAGAATGAGTGTTGGAGGAATAAATTGATACTAAATATAAAAATTACATTTGATTTTATAAAAAGGTAAATACTAAGCTACCTTTTTAATTTGAAAGTCACTATTTTGATTATATCACTGTATATTATACCTTTTTTCATCAATATGTACAGATTTCAAAAGTAATGAAAAACATTGATCCTGCAGGTATTGATTAGGATGAGATTTGATAGTGCCTGGGTCGGTATGTCATCCAAATTCTCATTCTTGACTTAGAGATTTAATCTGAAAGTTTGAATAAATCCTCATTGCCTCTTAATAAGTATTTTGCATTAGAAGATGTTGATGCAGAAAGTAACAGGCATTTGAATGCACTTCTGACCACTTAGTCTATTACTAATAACAATAATGCTTAGATAACATTTATAGAGCATTTAGAGAACACTGTAATAAGTATTTTACATAGACTATTTAGTTTAAATCTTTAAAAAGCTGTAGTTAATCAGTTCTGTTGTTTATCATCCTCAACTGAGTGATGAGATTGTAACTGACTCTGATTTACTCAAGTTCACAGAGCTGGCAGTGGCAAAGCCAGGGTTTAAATCCAGCAGTCTGATTCCATAGTTTGCTTTTAATGATTGTGCTGAACTGCCTGGATATGGATTTTATTGAATGAATCTTCAAGTCAAGTAGTCAGGCTTCCTATGATGATGATAAAGCTGTAAGCAGGGGTGTCCAACCTGCAGCCCAGGATGACTGTGAACGCAACCAACCCCAAATTGTAAATTTACTTAAAACATTATGAGATTTTTGTGTGACTGTGTCACAATGTATTTAATGTGTGGCTCAAGACAACTCTTCTTCTTCCAGTGTGGCCCAGAGACACCAGAAATATGGACACCCCTGCAAGGCTTGAGGCTTTGCTTTATATGTATCATCAGCACTACACACCAACTCTGCAAAAGAGTTTCCCCTCTGCTATTTTATTGATGAGAAAAGTGAGACTTCTGAGTCAGTAGTGCCCAGACTGTTGGACTTCATGGGCAAGTTAAAAGAAAAAGCCTGCGTATAGGGAGCCATTGGGACCAGACATAAGATTGCTAACTTGATTCTGTTCAAGGTTAAGGACCTTTTTTAAAACAACTAACAATTTACCACCCCCATCCTTTCATTTAAAAAAAGGACATTTTTACCACCGAAAAGTAGGAACATCATAATTACAACATGAAAACAAAGGCAAATTTAGTCTTATAAAAACTATATTCCATTGTCCTCTTTTTTCTCATTTGGTCACAGGCCAGTAAAACACGTGTTCCAGATGAACACCCATTCAGGAAGTGTTGGGGATGCCTGGGTGGCACAACTGATTCCAGACTGGCAACTACCTGAGTCCAGATTCAGATTCAAGTCTTTCCAACTGCAGAGTTCGTGCTCATTGTAATGGTTCATGACCTCTCTAATTTTGCTCTCCAGTGCATTGACCTTCTTCCTTCACTCTCAGACAAGGGGGCAGGGGAGAGTAGCCTCCCACAGACAGGCGCCTGGCAGAGTCAGCCCCAGTCCCATTTGTAAACAGCCCCTAGAGAGTAAGTGCTGCTGCTTCCCTGGGCAGGGCACTGGGAGTGATGCGTGGAGGGGAGAAACCGCAGGCATGTCTCGATATCCCAGAAACGCTCAAGGAAGCAGCTGGACTTTACTTATTTATTCAAAATTAGAAGCCCCAACTTCTTTTGTTTCTTGCGTTTACCTCATTTATTTTCACAGTTCTTTTTACATCATGTATCGGTATAACATAGAAGTTAGGTGTAGTTTCCTCCCCCCCATTTTATCTTTTATCTTATTGCCTCCATCTAGTCTTAAGCCTGTCTGTCTGTCTGTCTTGAGTTGGTTCTGATTTTGGCAGAAATTGGCTTTTGCCTTAAGTTATTTGTTTTTGGTTATGCCTGCTTGTTTTAAAGACACTTAAAATTACAGTTGACCCTGTCCTGGCTGGGTGGATCAGGTGGAGCATTGTCCGGTACACCACAAGGTAGCAAGTTCGATTCCTGGTGAGGGCACATGCCTAGATGGTGCGTTCGATCCCTGGTCGTGCTGCTTATGAGAGGCAACCGATAGGTAGCTATTTCTCTCTCACATTGATGTCTGTCTGTCTCTCTCTCCTCCCTCCCTCTCTCGTCCTCTCTAAAAATCAGTGAACATATCCTCTGGTGAGGATAAAAAGTAATAATAACTTTAAAAAATTATAGTCAACCCTCGAATGACTTGGGGGGGGTGGACCACCCACACAGCTGAGTATCCACGTATAACTTAAGTTGGACTTCACATGAGCAGATTTTCAACCACAAGTCAAAAATAACATTGGCCCTGGCTTGAACAACTCAGGTTTGAACCGTGTGGGTCGAGTTATAAAAGCCATCCTGGATTTAGATGAGTTTGTTCAATCATCGTCTGTACTTTTATATTTCAGTTTACTTTCTGTCACTTACTAATAAGGTAATAATTTGAATGATAGAACAGTGCTCTCTAAGTACAGACAAGCAGTTATGCCTATAACTACTTTAATAAAATCTTTAATTCTGCTACTTTTTGCCTATATTCTTTCATTTGATTATTACAGTTATGGGGTAGATTTGACAAGTAGGGTCATCTTTATTATACAGGTTAAATTCAGCATTTGACCAAAACACAATTTTAAGCAGAGCTGAAAAGAAAAGATTTCATATCTCAGAATGTTGATTTAATTTAACTACTTAAA